AACACATTTAATCAACAACTGTAAGCACAAAGCTTAGTGAGTTTCCCAAGATATCACATACAACAAACCACATAAAACAGCTATGGGTTATCAGCAACCCTGGTGACTACCCGAAGTCTCAATGGGCAACAACACACCCTGTTGGTTATCAGCAACCATAGAGACTACTCGTAGTTTCAACACATATAAACAACACATACACAGTAGCCACTTAGACCCAGTTGGTCATCACATATATATCTATACACAGCTTGTAACGCCTGGTTCCTGGTACGCATTTAAATTACAATTTATACATTTTTGTAGAGTAACTCGACGAGTTGGGAGCCCAACTCATCGAGTAGAGATCAGAAGAGACACGAGTCTTTAAGTTACCTACTCGAAGAGTTGAGAGCCTCAACTCGATGAGTAGGCTGGCAGGGGTGAAACCCTAATTTCGGGGTTTTGCACCCTATTTAAGCATCCTAATCCCCACATGTTGGCCTCATTTCCAGCCTCTAAGTCCTAAACCTTAGATCCAGAAACCCTAATGCATTTGTGAGCTTGTGAGCCATTTTTGAGTGAAGTTTTTTGTGTGTTGAAGCTTGTGAAGGAAGGAGAAGCTTGGGGATTCAAGAAGAAGCTAGTAGATCCAGATACTCCATTTCATTCTCATCATTTCCTGGTAAGCAAGTCTCAAACTTGCTTAGTAACTTCTTAGATCCCCTTATTATCATCTTATTGGGTTTTTGGTCCAAGAAGCATGACCTTTGGGAAATGGACGTCCCAAGCTAGTATACCATCAGATCTGGAAGCATGGAGGGCTTTCATGGCATAAAGGTGCAAAATTTATGGCCATTGAAGCCCCATGCAAGTTCTAGGATGTCATTTTGGCCTTTTAAGCTCCAAAAGGCCATGCATGGAGAGAAAGGAGGAAGCTTTACATGTTCATGTAGTGTCTAGGGTCCAGATCTCAGTTTGTATGCTTTAGCTTGGAGTGTTGATGGCTTGTGGACCAAGATCTAGGTCCTAAAGAGTTAGGGTTTGAGCTAAACCCATTAAGTAAGGGTATTAACGGGTAAAGTTGGAAACTTTACCCTTAAAAGGACATTTTCAGCGTATATGTGAAGTATGAAGCTCAGATCTGAAGAGTAGGGGCTTAATCCATTAAGATGAAGCAACAGACTGAAGAACTCGGCGAGTCCATAGAGGGACTCGACGAGTTAGATCGATTTGTCCCGATTCTGTAAAGGGCAGAACTCGACGAGTCTAAGGAGGGACTCAACGAGTTGACTCGTTTTATCACGATTCTGCTGAGCATGGAAACTCGACGAGTCATAGGGATGACTCGACGAGTTGAGTCAACTCGGGGTGTTGACTTTGACTTTGACTAGACGTTGACTTTGACCAAGGTTGACCCGTGAAGGGGTCTTGAGAAAGGAATGGCATCTAAGGGGTTGTTTCTGTATAGGGCGTGAGTAGAGCCGGTTGCAAGAGCAGACACGTTCAGCTATTTCACCCGACATTTGAGGTGAGTTTTCCTCCAGTAGGAACGGGTCGAAGGCACCAATGCTGGCCCGTTTATGTATGATGGTATGTTCCGGACTAAGGTCCGATGCCGGGTAGGGCCCAATGTAGGTTTATATGTTTTTTCGGATTTTGATCTGATGTCGGGGCGGTACCCGATGAATGTTTGTATGCTTGATGTCTTTGTGATTCTTGCATGTGATTGTATCTATATGTTTCCGGACTACGGTCCGATGTTGGGGCGATTCTCGAGGAATGTTTGTATGCTTTCTGGATCTCGGTCCGATGCCGGGCGGGGCCTGAGGAATGTTACATGTCTATGATTATGTGATTATGTTTATGTTTATGTGTAATAATAGATATGCTCATATGTATGTCGAGCTTTGCTTGATGCCGGGCGGGGACCGATGTAGCAGGGCGGGGCCCACGATATGTTGTTATGTGATTATGTGATATGTATATGGTATGTGGTAGTTTGGGGAGACTCACTAAGCTTTGTGCTTACAGTTTTCAGTTTTGGTTTCAGGTACTTCCGGTAGCAAGGGGAAGAACTCGGGATGATTGCAGTGTACACACCATTGTTTAGCCTGGGATGTTTATACTCTGATATATATTTGACAGATGTTATGATATTTTGAGATACACAACTTATATTTGTATATGATGTTTGATGACTATGGTTTTCTTAATGATTTAAAAATGAAATTTTTGGGCTGTATTTTTGGGATGTTTCACAACTATTCTACCACACATGTAAGAATAAGTGCAGAGACTCACCTGATACTGATGACTAATAAATCTCACTCCTGAACTGTCGGAACTAGACTCCGTCTTCTGAAGATGCACAAGGTGATGTACAAGCTGGATCTAAAGACTAGAATGCACCACCTTCTTCTCTAAGAACTTCATTCTCTACCAATAATGCCCAAGAATCACAAACAAGCTCCAAAATCACACTTACAAGGCTAGGGTTCGATATCTAGGGTTTGGAGGGTATGGAGGCTGGCTAATGAATGTCCAAGGGTGGTATAATGTGTTTAAATAGGGGTGAAACCCTAAAAATTAGGGTTTGGCATCTGCTCGCATACGCCCGACGTACTCCCTCGTACACCTAGCGTACACTGCCTCTGTCCCGACTCACTTAAAGGATTACGCCCGACGTACATGGCTAGTACACCCCACATTAGCCGAAAATCCTCAATACTTGAATTAATAAGATAAGTAGATTGGTACCTCGAGATTTGGGATGTTACAAACATATAATGCCACACATAGTATAGTGAGAAAACTCACCCGAATCCAACAACCACGATCTCAACAACAATATCCTCAAATGAAACAACTAACACTAACCAACTACTACCAACCAGAGACTAAACCCCAGTCTAATACTAAAAAATCCATCAAAGTTTGATCAAAAGTTAAATTGTTCAAAAGTCAAAAGTCAAAAGTCAAAAGTCAAAAGTCAAAAGTCAAAAGTCAACAATCGAATTCAAATTCAAAAAGTCAAATCCCTATGTGCCGCTTACCAACTATTGGACGTACCACTTACACTAAATGATAAATAGTCGGGACACTCACCAGAACTGACGCGCATCAATCATCTAATGGACGTGTCGCGTACCTTGCCCAAACAACCCAACTCATTAAGCACTTAATCCTTAAAGTCAAAGTCTCAAACTTCCAAAATATCATATGGAGAGGTTCTTAATGGATAATTTGCAACATTATCCAAGCATAAGCCTCTAACAAACTTAACTCTAACCCTAGATCTAAAATGCCCAAAAAGTCCATGCATGGTCCAAAATGAAAGACAAAACTCGCCCCTTTTCACCACAAAGGGTCCAAAAAGCAACGCAAGACAACCTTGTGAACATGACAAGAAAGAACTAAAACAATACACAATGCTAGATCTATGGTGAAAAACACATAAAGATTGGATCTTGATGACTTACAAAGGTTTAGAGGGTTATAACAAGGCTAGAACAACTCTGCATTTAGCTTCATAAGCAAGAAAAACGCCTTCTCCTTCTTCAACTACACTCTCAAGGTACAAAACACCACAATAGGATGAGAAAGGGGATAAGGTTGTTCACTAACGTTTTAGGAGGATGGAGGCTGCAAATGGAAGAAATCCTAAAAGTTAGTCTTTAAATAGCCCCCACAACACAAAGCCTAGGGCTTTTAGCAGATTGTGGCCACACACCGTTTATTTCATTAATGGACGTGCCGCGTCCACATGGCATTTACGCGCTGTGACCGTCAAAAGGACGCACCGCGTTCAAGAGTTTTTCCCAAAAATCTTCTTTCTTATTTCCTTCAAATTTATTCATAACTATTCTGAAATCAACCGTTACAAAAGTATATATAAAATATATTTTTATTATTTATAAAGTTAATTTCTTTTTATAAAAGTTTAAATATTACAAATAAATAGAAAAAATAAAAATAGTAGTTTACATGTTTGATTGGGTTATTAATAAATTGCTAAATATTAAAAATATTAAAATTGGTTGGACTATTGGTTGTATATGTAGAAAAGTAAGAAATTAATATTTTAATATAAAAAAATAGGGTTCACACGGTTGCTGATATATAAACATGGAAGTTCCCAAATTTTGACATTTTAAGCCTGCCATATCAACTCTTCTCGCTCAGTGTTTTTGTCGAAGTGATGATGGGTAATTAAGTTTCTACTCCAAAAAGCTCTATGTTTTTATGTTTTGAAAGTCACATGTCTTTGATATCTTTTGTTCATTCTAGTTGATCAATACGTAATTCGTAAACGCTGTTTTTTTTTTGGAATATCGCTGTCATCTATCACTTATCATTGGAAACAGAATCAAGAAACCCATTTTGAAAAGATCTTTTGTATGCGGTTCGAGAGAGGTCCTTGGATAGTTGTTATTTATGCCAGGATATGAAGGGGTTAAGCTAGGTTTTGCAAGTGGTCATGTAATTTCATTAGTCTTGAGTTGATTTAACTTTTTAGTGTTATATGGATTCCCTTTAGTACAATGTAATCGATTTCAATGCAATTTATCATTATGTGACTACTCATATACCTTTCTATTTGGATTTCTGTTAAGAGTAATCTTTATGCATGTAGTCTTAAGGGTGTGAAGAGATCATTAGGATGCGTTTGTTACACCCATTAAAACATGTGCGTTCCCAATCAATTATATTTTCGGATCTGTGGGCCTCTTCTAAACCATTATGTTATTGAAGACACTTGGATTATTATCTATATATTAACGTCACAAAACATAATATGTGAGTCAAATTTCCTTCAATCATTAAATTATGTGTACAACAAATAAAACAATGTCTTTCTAACGAGTTAAGTTAAAACACCCAACCCAAAACCTCCATTGATAATAAAAAGATATTATTATGAAGAGTACAATCAGAAATGTCAAGTTGTTCAATGTTTCTTATTGCTTTCCATTCTCCTTGCATGAAATAACCAAGTCCCCTTTGTATTTCTGAACCTAATGACAGCGAATTATAAAAGGAAGTCTGGAGGAGATAGAATCAGTAACTTGCCAGAACACTTAATAGCCTCAATCATAGAGCGTCTCCCGATTCAAGATGCTGTAAGGACATGCATTATATCTAAAAAGTGGAGGTACATATGGACCGAAATGAGGGAGCTGGTTTTTGATAACCAGTTCTCAAACAAATTTGCAAAAAATGGAGCTTTTGGTCGTAATGGGTTTATAAGGATCATAAAACAAGTCTTGACCCTTTCCAAAGGTCCTATCTTGAAATTTGCAAAAAACGGAGCTTTTGGTGGTAATGAGTTTATAAGAATCATAAACCAAGTGTTGACCCTTCACAAAGGTCCTATCTTGAAATTTCATCTCCATATACCAAACATATTTCTTGATAGCTTCGAAGAAGTCGATCAATGGATGTTACTTTTATCAAGAACCGGAGTCAGGGAACTCATTCTTGTTAGTTCAAATCGATGTTATGAACTTCCTTCTTATGTGTTTTCTTGTCTAGAATTGACAAAGTTGAAACTGCACAACTGTTTCTTTAAGCCACCACTTAAGTTTGAAGGATTTCTCAATCTTGAAGAACTTATTCTCCGTCATATCGATTTTGGAGCTAACTTGTGTGGAACTAAGATCAACTTACCACAACTTAAGAAGTTGTCTCTGCATTCGTGCTCAAACGTTTACAATTTCAACATCAAGGCTACAAATCTCTTCCGTTTGGCTATCATCCTTGTCCGGATGCCATGTTGGCCACAATGTTAATTAGTAACTTAACTAAAGTTAAACGTTTTTGTATCGATGCTCAGTTGCTCAAGGTATAATTCTCATGTCTATCTCAAATATTGTAATTTTCTTGTCATTTAATCTAACTTTCACTTCTTCATAGACATTGACTGCAGGAAATATTCCAAAGTGGCTTCAGCAGCCGTACAATAGTTTAAGGTATTTATGGTTCCGAAAATTTCAACTTGGTGACGTGGATCAACTTCGTGGTGCTCTTTGTTTGCTTCGGAACTCACCAAATCTAAGAACACTGGGGATGAACTTGGAGAAGGTAAAGTAACGAGTGTTAAAAGTATATTTATTTTGCTTATAATATTATACAAGAGTTGTATGCTAAAGTGCGGTTGCATTTTAAAGTTATTTCAGAAGCCTCGAGTTAACTTAGGACCTGCTTCAAGTATTTTGGAATCTCTAAACTGCTTGGACTATAAATTGTATCAGTTGCAAAATTTTGTTATAACATCTATAGAAGGATCAAAACCAGAAATGCTTTTCATAAAGCTTCTTCTTTCCCATTCCCCTTCTCTCGAAAAGGTTACCATTAGACCAAGTGGATCTTCTAGTGTTCAAGAAAGACTTAACATTGCGAAGGATGTTATGTGGTTCCCTCGAGCCTCACCAAAAGCCAAAATTATCTACTCGAATCCGTAATTATGTAATTAAAAATGCTCAACTACATTGCAGTTTAGCTTTATACTTTCATCCTTGTAAGTATATTCGAATTATCTTTCTTTTCTTTTTATGCCCCGTAGATCTGTTTGCCGTGGATTGATTTTTGATAAAAAATGCCAAGTAGGATGGATTTTTTTTTTGTTGCTTTATACTTTGGTTAATCTAAGTTTGTACCTACTACTCATTTTTTTGCTTTTGTGTGGTGTGTGTTAGAATTGATAAATTTGTACGCTTGAAGAAGAGACTGTTGATATGGGATTTAGTTTAGTTCTAAGAGAGTTATGAAATGAATCCCTTATTTGTTAGATCTCATAATATTCAAAATAGGGATAACAAACAACCCAACATTTGGAAACATGCGGCCTGAATCAATTAATCGGAAATGGGGAATACCCCGATCGCGGTATATAT